GCTAAGGTAGCTGGTACAGCAGTTATAAACTGCCAACCAACCATCCTCACCTTGCCGGCCTTCAAAATTTCTTCGTTCGTGTAGGAATACTGAGGAATAGAAAAACGCTTGGTGAAGAAGGCGCCTTAATTTGACGCCAGTCTCTGCATTTCATTATATTATTTACGAGTAGGTACCGTAGTTCTATACAGATTATGACAATGATACGCTGTTGGCAAATTTACTTTTAGGTTTAGTGAATCATAGACAGAATCCAGGCTATTGCATTGCTTGCACCTTGTGTCTTATGATCCGTGTATCCCTGCGGTATTATGCTGAGGCAGGGACCTAGTTGGGTTTATTTCCATATTTTTATTAATGTTACGTGTATTGTTGAGACAAATAAATTGTTTTCTTTTATTTTTTGCTACAGGATTTTCCGCGACTAATATAAGATTTAGACCACTTGGAGTCAATTCAGCCGGAATATTTTTTATGTTTTGATTTCTGTTCATGTATTCCATCATTTGTTTTTCTTTCGTCAGTATTATTACATTTATACACCCCGGCAAATTTCTTGAGCAACGACCATAAACAAGTAAGCCTGCGCAGTAGCAATTTCACATTAAAAATGTCTACTGCGCAAGTATATTTGTCAGTGGTTTTGCTTAAGAATTTTGCCTGTCTAAAGTTATATTTATATACAACACATCAATAAAAGAAGTTAATTATGAACTTCAAACTTTCTGAATCGTTTTTATATTTAAAATGAGCAAAATAAAGTTATTGTTAGTTGTCGAAATTAAACAGTTTTGGAGAACATGAACCACTGTTGACTGTACAAACAATATTATAGGATAGAAAAGATGCCTCAGTTGGTTGTATCGATTCGTTTATTTTGGTCGCATCGCAGCAGCTTCCTGCCTCCTGCATGTACAAATTTTCGTACAATTTTGGCTTTGACGTATCGTCTCCGCTGGGTATGGTATCGATCATATTGACTGGCAGTATCAATAATTTACTGCCCAAGCATACGTGGCAGAATCTACTTACCGTTCTTATGTTGATTAAAGGAAATACTCATCTCCAATAATTTGTTACTTTGAAAAGGACCTTTATGTGAAAACGCGTGTAAAGTGCATTATACGACAATGTGTGTAAATATTTTTCCTCTAAAAACTGTTCCTCAAAAAAAGGTTACATAACGGTAACGGGAGTTTTTGTTTTTGTTATTCAAAAACAGCAGCAACAAATTTTCACATTCCTTACTAGTTCCCATTTTGGGATAGACCCCGTAACAAAAATGGTTTTAAAATGTCTACTTTGACGGCCCCGCATTTCTTTGTTATTGAAAATAATAAAAAATATATTAATATTTAAAAGAAACATATTTTCGTCTCCCTTTCATGTCGCCATGAAAAATGATTTAATTACATTTTTAACTAAATATATAGCTTTGGGCAAACATACTACATAAAATATCTAAATTTTAGTTTTGTGACTCATTCCGTATACGATCTGGAGACTCGTGACATACGACAGACAGACTGACAGATAACAAAGTGTCAACATCATTCAGACAGGGTCCATTTTTACCCTTTGGGTACGGAACCCCAATAGACGTTTCATTCCATTCGATTTTGACACAAAGAGTAGAAACTAGGACAGAGATGGCTTCGCGACTCCCAAATAAGAGGGATTTGCGGTACTTCCGAATTCTGTTTTCCCCATTAATAGGCTTACAGAATTTTGCCGTGAGTTTACGAAGGACCTTTTATATTTCCTTTGCTGAGTGGGGGTGATTTTTTCCATGTCATAATATCCCTTTGTTCGGCTGTAGGGGAGCGAAGAATCCGGGCCACAACTCAAAATGTCCGAGACGACTTAAATTCTTAGTTGGCTGTAATGAAAACAATTATTGGACGCGACCGAAATGACGTATCTGATATGAATTTGATTCTGTCGGAAAATTTTGGTCAATTACTTTCGTTGTTAATTTACGGTGGATTTATAATGACGGATGAACGTAAATAGGGCAGTTATTAAAATCTTCAAGTCGTTAAATTTTATATTAAATCGTGGTAGAATTACTTGAACTAAATTCGTTTTGGATTTGTCGTTTTATTTCGTACCGTAGTACACGAAGTTTAATGTCAAGTAGCTTGTCTATATTTTTAGATACGAGTCCGTTACTCTTAATTATGAGCTGTCCACAAACATTTTAAAAATATTAATTAAACTGTCCACATCATATTGTGTCATTAAAGCTATTAACGGGATTATTACCATGTACATTGTTCCGTGTGTATGTACAGTGTCCGATATTTGAGTTACTCCGTGATCATGGCGCTTGCAACAGTGCCGAAATATCTGAGACTCATAAAAATACAAGGTACATGTTGACAATCCCGTTAATAGCTTCAATGTTATTAACCATGTATGTTTAAAACAATATATATTTTGTGTCGTTTATCGATTTTACCTGGCATTTTATTAATAATAATTTTCATTATTATAACATTTTAATATTATTCCAAACTTACTTTCTGGCTTATCCGAGAACATGATCGTTTCCCTTATAGTCGTTATCAGACAGCACTGGTTTGAACGAAGAGATGTTATATAAGGTGCAAATTGACCTCGAAGGAGAGGTTATTTTATTACATGTTATATCTTGTGTGAGTAGACCAAAAACAAACAGATGGTAAGCGGCCACCACAGCCTATAGACGCAATTCCAAACGGTGTGAGTAAAAAAAATTCAATCACACCGTAATTTACCCTGACCAAAATCAGCTATACCTACCTCTCTTAAGATTATTTTGCGCGTAGACTATATTTTTAAGCAGCCATAATTTTTGACTTAGCGATGAGCGCAGGGATGCGCGACGGTAGCGTGCATTCTTTGGCTGCGGTTTTATGTCAGCGCCGTCACTGTGGGATTCGCTTAGTGACGTGCTTCCAAGATTCTAGTGCATTAGTAAGAGAGGTAGGGCTAAGGTAAGGTTCTAGGGCTCCACGGGATAGGTGATTGGGTCAGGATAGGCGACGGTACGAGTACATGGTATCGCAAGCGTGTATATTATTATTATTTTAGATTTCTGGGGCTATGCAGTCCTGATGGAACTTTGAATTAATAAATGAATTGAAATATTTTTTTTCTGAGACTTTTAGGGTTATGCGGACCTAATGGAGATGTAGTCACTGCGACCTAGATCTTTTTTGACTCGAAACCGAGTTAAAGTATCTCTTTTAGCCCAACAGCTTCCAAGAAGCTCAAAACGTATCTAGCTCTTAGAGACTTGATTTCCTCTGGCCATAATATATGTCGTCCCAGATGAATATTACGTTTGTGGATAAGAGGCCCAACATTCATTTAGAAGGTGCTTTGGTGTTTCACGTTCCTGATTGCAGCATCTGCAAACGTCAGTGTCACTTAACTTCATATGAAAATGGTGTCTGTTGAGTTTGCAATGTCCATTTAAGGCTCTTACGATAGCAAGGGTAAGCTAAGTTCTATTAACTCAGCAGTCCGTTTTTCGAGTAACTTTTTATTAGTGATTTATCCTGCTCTAATCCTCGCAGAATTCGCCTAGAAGGTCGTCCTTAAGAATTTGTATAGCATGGTTACTAGGGATGCTACAGAAAGGTTCTGGCCCCATCTGTTGCCCCGGTATTCCTAATCTTGCTAGTTCATCAGCTTTCTCGTTGCCGATTATCCTTGAATGACCTGGTACCTATTTAAGAATAAGTTTATTATTTAGATCCAGGTTATTCGGGTTATCAACGCAGTCTTTCACCAATTTCGAGCATATCGTGTTCGAGTTAATGGTTTTAAGCGCTACTTGGCTATCTGAAAAGATATACATGACCTGGTTTGTGTAGTTTCGTTGACGCTTGACTTCTGCACATTCTATTATGGCATATTATACCTCTACCTGGAATATTGTAGCATGTTTTCCGAGATTCATGCATTTGTTGAATCGCGACCTTCGCCGTATATTCCACATTCTACATCTTATATATAAAATTCTCGAGTCACAATGTTAGTTACCATACTCCTCCGAAACGGCCTGACCGACTTTTGTGAAATTTTATATGCATATTCAGTAGGTCTGAGAATTTCATACCCTGAGTGATAAGGGTTGTCCACTCCTAACATCATCATCAACATTTTTTTTTTTAAATTTTTTGTATAATGTGGCATTAAAATACTTGCATTAATAATAAAATAAAATCCTGAATTTTCACCCTTCTATCGCCAACCCCTATTTTTAATAGTAATTTATATGGCAAAACAACGTTTGCTGGGTCAGCTAGTCTGATCATGAAAAAAAATGTTCTACATAGCACGTAATTTGTCCTCATCGCTCGGCGCGTTGCACCCAGCCGTCATCATAGCGGCAAGGTCGTGACCGAGCCGTAAGTAATGTAACGCCCGTATGTGTTACCATCTATCTTGCTTAATTATATTCTAGACACAACGGCTAGCAGTAAATAGAATTTATGAAAGGATAAATATTTAAATTTAAAGAATGCGATTGCTTTTGTCCCGCTTCGAGAGACGGCATTCTAGAAACGGGCATAGAGTAGTGCGTAAGTCTGTAGTAGGTATATTATCAAAATAAATAAATATCTGCATGAATAGAATTCAGTTTGATTTGAGGAAGCAAAATTTCAGAGGATCATAGTTGGCCTGGCAACCCCAGTCGAGTGTTTTATTTCTTTTTTATTCAAAAAAAGTTTTCATGGCCTTTGACCACAATCACACCTGATGTTAAGCAACGATGTGGTCTAAGCTGGAGCACGCAAACTCAAATAAAACCTATTTACCCTTGCATTCAAGGTCCCTATATTACAAGTATCGGGGAATACAGACGTAGGCAGGGAGTTCTATTCCCTAGAGGTTCGCATGATAAAGGTGGATGCGAATCGTGAGGTGCGCAATGGAGTTTAACTACATACGAATGAATACCACATCTACTTGTCGGATGGTAAAGCTGGCCTAAATTACCTACTTACCATTGTCTTCCCGATCGGGTCCGCTGTCGTGCTCCGACTCGGACTCGTCCCAGATGGTGTCGGTAGCAATCTTCTGCCGGGAGCACTCCACCCAGTAGCCGGGCGTCGGGATCAAGCTGTGGGGGTACTCCTCGCAGAATTCATCTGTGGAACGATTGATAAATTTTTAAAACTGATAAACAATATTTAATTCTTAAACTTGTAACAATGAACCTAAAACTAAAAACCTTAAAAATATAATATAATAACTAAAATTAACATTATGTACAAGAATAATATACAAATACTAATAATATTCAAATATCACCCCGTATCGTTTCTGGCGCAAAGGTGCCCATTATGCTTGCAGCATTGCCACGCTGGATGGCAATAGACAATCTTTGTGCCAGAAACGACCCGGAGCGAGGGTCATTAGTTTTTTGCCTGAGTCGGCGGCCCAGGTCCCACACAAATTGCTTGGCCTCTGCGCTCCAACAACCCGCCGTTTCCACCGCCAAAGGCACGAAAATATATCCTTGCCCCAACGAGGAATATTTTAAGCGCTTCGCCGTTGCCTGATACTCAGCCGCCGCCCCAGCCCTGCGTGTCGTGCGGCCGATGTGGGTAGCGGCGAAAGTGCTGACACACGTCGCGTCCCACACCAAACATCGTCCCTTCTCCCACGGTACCAATGTAAGTCCATCAGGCCGTTTTCCGTCTATGCGGCTGAGACCAGGTGGTTCGAGGACGGAAGGAACGCCGGCCGACCTAAGACCTCTCAACACTATGTCATTTAGAGCATGGTGACGTGGGTGTCTGCCTGTACATCGACGGCAGCTCAATGCGTGATGGCCGTCAGCCCCCACCATGGTACCGCAGATGCATACATGTGGTTGACATACATCGCAGCCCAAGCGGAGGGCGACCGCCACCCGCAAAGAGTCACCGTCAAGTAAAGTGCCCATATGAGGCGAAGGTAACGCGTGCAGCCACGCCCCGGATTCAGGCTGTGAAACCGCCAAAATCCTCGCTAGATCGACTCCCGTTGCACCACCAGTAAGCAGTTCAAGTGTCGCTTTACAATTAACGTCGTCCCATGAGCGCTGGAACTCGGGGTTCCTAGGCACGGCTGCACCCGGGACGAGAGCTAACCAGGCTGCCAAAGCATCGGCCGCAAAGGGTACGGTCACCTTGTCGCCATTCATAGACAGAATATTAGCTACAAGGCCCGAAACCCCATGGGCCGAGGCCAAGAAAGCCGGGAGACTCACATCACTAACAGAACGCACCCCAATACCCCCGTATCGGATTGGCAAAGATGCCTGTTTCCAGTGGTTGCCACTCAGGGAGACATTCAAAATTGTCTGAACCGCATTTTTTATGACAGCGTCAAAAGAAGCAATACCATCACGGAACATCCAAACTGGAGCCGTCCGAAGGAGGTATGTTATTTTTGGGATGGCAAAACATTTCTGCAAGAGGACTAGAGCAACGTGAGGAGCAATGGCCTCTAGACGCTCGCTGGCCAGCAAGAGAACATCCTTACGAGTTTTCATGGCCTCCGGAACTGCAGATGGAAAAATAGGAGCACCAAGCAAATTAAAAGAATCTTTATTGAGCTCCTTGAGGCCCGGAAGCAAACAAGTGAAAGACGAGAAGGATTGAGATGACACCGAACTACACGAAAAGAACTCGCATTTTGTAAAATTTACCTCTAGACCTAACTCCCCCAGACGAGGTAATAAGAAAGCTAAGTCCCTTTCCACTTCTTCTGGTTTACCCCCAATGGTCCCATCATCTAAGTACCAGATGTTGAGGGGCGATTTGAGCTCAGTGATCACTTTGTGAATGGCAAGGCTAAAGGCGAGGGGGCCGAGGGGGTCTCCCTGTTGCGCACCAACCTGGGACAGGATTAAATCAGTGCCAACATATAGGTTAGAAGGTATATGATATGCCTGGTGGAGGAAAGGATAAAGCTCAGGGATATTCTCCATCACCTCATGAAGCATGACGTCCCTTTCAAGAGTATTGAAAGCGTTCTTCAAATCTAGCTTAACTATCACTCCATCCACATTCTCCGGATCCATTGCAAAAGTCCGAACCGCATGTATTCCCGCCTCACAACCTAGACGTATCCCAAAACCTAATTGATGTGGTTGAAGGTAGGAAGCCATTTGCTCCTTCACAGCTCGGCATCCCAGCTTGGCCACTAAGCGCCGAAGCACACTCCCTACTGCGATAGGTCTCAACCCACCCTCCTTCTTCTTCAAGGCACATAGTGTCGCCCCATATAAATAGGGACACACATCAGGATTCAATTGCCCACTGAGCAAAAAATTACTGAGCCTAGTTAAGGCTTTAATCAAGCGCTGACCATTATCTCCCGCAGAACTAGAAATCAATTCCTTCAAATGGGAAGGACGAATGCCATCTAAGCCGGCAGCTGATCCATTATAAAAAGAGTTAACAGCCAGCACCACATCCTCCTCCGTCACCAACAACCCCGGAATGCACGAGACCGGCTCCGGTGGAAAATGAAGAAGACGGGACGGATGCGGATGTTTTGATTGAAGGGCAGCAACAGTCTCCGGTCCCGGCGGTGCAATGGAGTCTTCGCTCATGAGTAACCGAACCGCTCCCCTCAAATCACCCTCGTGGACTTTAGACTCAATTACCCTTGTTAGTGACAGTGGCTTCCTCACTAACAATGCGCAGTCAGCGGAAGAAAAACAACGGACTACACCTACGTTTACTTTTACTTTAGAAGTAAGAGAGCCATTACCGGCCTTTTCGGGGGTTCTAAAGGCAGTGTAAGAGAAAGAAAGAAGAGAACTCCACTCTTCCAACCCATTAGTGGCGACACAACCATCAATGATGTCACATAGTCTGCCTGCTGCCACACTCCTCGCACCCTTTGGAATGTGACGCAGAACACGAACTGTGTCCCTAAGTGTTGCAAGCTGATCGAGTAATATGCAACGGTCGCAAGACTGCGGATTAGCTGCTCCCGGCGTTGATGGGGCAATAACCGGTGCGGCAACGGACGGTGGCGGCGGGGGCTGAGAGAGGGGACTGAGTACATCCCTGTGTATGCGCGTAATATGTATCTTGAGACCTCGTGACGTAAACTTTCGTGATGAATTGTGGCAATAGGGACACGTCGACTCAGGGAGACTACTCATTGCATACAATAAAAATTAAAAATAACAAAATAAAATAAAAATAATCGTTACCGTTTATAAAATAAAACTCACAAATGAATATACATAGTACATTTCTTGCAGGGGCGGAATGTTATTTAAAAGCTCAAACAGTACTTCAACGTAATGAAAAAGCCAAGGGCTTCCTGGACAAGTTGAGCAAGTCGTTCGATCAAGTTATGTCGTTGATTCAGTCGCTGCGGTTCATAAAGTTGCAGCTGCCGCTGTCGCTGCTGCTGCCTGCGCTGCTGGACTTTAGCCGCGTGGTGCACGTGGCACGCGACCCCAGGGTCGTGGCCGTCTCCTCCTACCACCACTTCTTTACAAACACGGGCTACACAACCAGCTTCAAAACATTCACTAGAACTGGAGGCAATAAAAATGCAGCGACGAAACATAATATAACATTTGAAAGCTTGTTTTTCATAATAACATGAACAGATACTTTTAGTTTTTTATTTATATCCAATTAATTTTAAATCGTGTTTATAATTGCACAATTTTATAATGATGCTGTCATATGTAACGTCATATGTCATATCATAATTTTTAAAGATATCCATAATATCAGGTAATATTTTCTCTTTATTTCACAGGATTTTTTTATTACATTTATACATGGCAGTCCTATCGTGACTGTAAGATTTTAAGTAAGAAATTCAAATATTTTTTGTAATTAAACTTTTTGCTGCGAATTTGAAAATCAATAAAAAGGTTCTTTGGAGGTGGGCTCTGAAAGAAAGCAGTGGAGTATCTTAACATCAGGTTAATTGATTTTCAAATCCGCAACTAATTTGTTCCTTAGGTCCCGATTCCTTACACATTCCATCAACAAATGTTGGACATCGTCGGTTTAACACAATCCGTACAATTAGGGGAATTCGCTGTCTACATAATATATCTCAATTTATCTTAATTTCAGCTTGCAAAGTTCTATACCAAATTCCTGTTGTTGAGCTTGTTTCATCAAAATATGTACATTGATTGAGGAATTCTTTTTTAAATATTTAGATTTATTGGTTGTCCATCCGTTACACTAAGTTTTGCCAATTTACTCGTATCTGCCTTCTTATTTTCCTGCAAACCAATGTGATGGAAAGCACTGCAGTCTCACCCTTTTGTTGTCTTGGCTAAGATAGAAAATCTGTTTCACTATAGCATAGGCCGTTTAACGCATATAGCTGGATGTACCTCTGGGCTCAGAGGTACATCCAGCTATATGCTGTAGGGCGCTTCTGCTGCTAAATTAGCCATGCTTAATATTAAGTCTTTACATAAAATTTCCTAGCAACTCTTCAAAGATATCAAAAAAGGGATCAAAAAAGGCTGCCCCTTAGCCCCGAGAACACTTAGATCCATCAGTATAACTCTTGAGCTAGTTTCTATATTTTATTTTAATATTTTCTTTGTTGTTAAATCTGACATCCATACTGGTAAGGTCAATATTTGCAACGGGTAACTCTTATGTATATGTAAACTTTTAGTTTGATTATAAATTGTAATAAAAAGAGCCTGCCTTATAATTCTGCCAGTATCTAATAGAATAAACAGTGTTCAAGTTATCTTAGGATTTTAAAGTATGGCTGTCTTCACGTGTTTAACATGTTTAAACTTTACAACTATATTAGTATGCCAAGTATTGACGTTTCACGCTAGTGGAGGTATACAAACTTCACATTCCACTATTTGAATTTGAGTACTTCTAATAAAGCCTTTAATCACTCTAAGATTCTGCACTCTATCCATTTAAGACACGTGGGATTATGCACTATTGTCATACAAAACACTATCGTAGTCTATGCGGCTCCAAATCGTCGCTATACAGGGTTAATTTTAAAACACCAACAACCTCTTAGGGGGTGATTCTACCCATGAACAGGAACAACTATTATTATGGGACCAACGCTGAAATCGCGAAAAAATCTGCTGTATCATACAAATTAACCCTGTATATACCGTCCGGAG